CCATACATACACCAACACATATACATACATACATACATACATACATACATACATACATACATACATACATACATACATACATACATACATACATACATACATACATACATACATACATACATACATACATACATACATACATACATACATACATACATACATACATACATACATACATACATACATACATACATACATACATACATACATACATACATACATACATACATACATACATACATACATACATACATACATACATACACAAACATAACACACACATATTCCATAGATACTAGGGCTGTACCGAATAGCGATTTCCACTATTCGGCCGAATACGAATAGCTGGACCAACTATTCTGCCGAATACGAATAGTAAATCGTCATCATCAGGTGCTTTGCCGACTGGCATGGGCGACTATGTCCCGCCACAATCTGCTATCTCCTGCAGCATGTATTAGTTCGTGTGCTGACACACCTCCATGCCATGCAACAAGACTGTCAAGAATCTTCTCTTGTTGTCTTCCTCTGTCTCTCCTTCCACATATCTTTCCAGTGGTCACCATATGTTCCATTTTCCCTCATCTTATAACATGGCCGAAAGATGATGACTCCTTCTAATGTCTGTGAGTAGTTGTCTTCGGGCTCCCGCCTTTATCAAAACCTTTTAGTTTTTTTTTTTTTTTTCCCAAAGTATTTTAAGCATTGTTCTGTAAAACCACATCTCTGAGGCCTCAAGAAATTGTTTGGCCTGCCCACCGATTGTCCAAGACTTACACCCATATGCTAAAACTGGATTATGTAGCAAGCAAGAATTTTTTTTTCTAGCCTTCAATGACAAAGATGTATTGCATAAGATGCTCTTCGTTTTATAAAATACAGTTTTTGCCTGTCCTATTCTGTTTCTTATTTCAGTAATGCATCGTCCATCTGATGTTTTCCATGTGCCCAGATACTTAAACATCTGTACTTGTCCCAAAATAAAACTATTGACTTTAATTACACATTTAAAAATTATTATTATCTTTGATACCACCATTACTTCTGTCTTCCCACTATTCAAACTGAAGCCCATTCTTCCACTTTCGTGTATAAAATAGATCTAAAAAAACATCCATAATGTCAAATGTACACTGAAATTTTACTTCACAAAATGTAGTACAGAATAGTAAACATTTAAAAACATTTCACGTTTTGCATCCTTCAGTCAGTCAGTCTGTGGTAACTAAAACCTAGGAATGAAAGTATTCTTAGTTTTATAACAACTAACTAAACTTGTAAATTGTCACTGACAGCTAAGTTAATCCATGAAAGCGGCATTAGCTTTAAAAAAAAAATCGTTTCATGTTGTCAGCATTGAGGCAGCTTCTTGTCTCACTGAAGGTATTTCCAGCTGTACTAAACAGTCGTTCACTTGATACGTTCGTAGGTGGTGCACAAAGAAAACGCTTGACAGTATGAACCAAGGTTGGGAAATCTTGACATATTTATTTTCCACCAGTCCAGAAATGGGTGTAAGGTAACCACTATTCGTATTCGGCCCGACCGCAACTATTCGGCCGAATACCGAATAGTTATTAGGTCCACTATTCGGCCCCGAAGCGAATATTCGGTACAACCCTAATAGATACACACCTACACATGCATGCATAGACACACCCATACAACCACATATACAGACACCCACATATACACTCACATACAGTCACACAAATGATTTCATAGATCATCAAAAGAATCAAATGGTCTAGTCAGCTGATCAGAATATAACAAAATCAGCAGACAGCTACAATGTACTTAATGAGAACAACAAGCTACAAGACAAGAAACTGACCAAGGAAGATATGAATGAATGGAAAGAAAGTCGCCACAGTAACGCAGTATGATATGAACACAGCAAAAATACAGGAAACCACATATAACTCCTCTATGCGACGCTTTCTTCCTCTTCGGTCTTTGTAACCCCTGATGGAGCATAGGCCCTCAACCGAAGCTCTAGTGCAGGACTATTCAATGTGGATCGTCACGGGGCAGAGGACAGAGCCCCTGCATATAAAGATCATTATTACAATCATCATCATGTAGCACGTCCTTTGCAGAACATCGCTCTCATCACAGTCTGCCTGAAAGAAATTCGGTCTCTCGCCAGTTCTCCCACCTCATGTACTTTCACACTCAAGGAGTCCCTTATATTATGTGCATATTTTCGTGTTGGTCGGCCCCTGCCCTTCCTTCCTGGTACCTTGCCTTCTGCTATAATTTTTTCCAATCCGTCGTGGCGCCTAATGTGACCAAAATATTTCAGCTTCGGAGACAGGATGCCGTTTGTAAGCCAATCTTCCTTGATGTTCAGATCTTTCAAGATGTCAGTATTTCTCCTCTTCTTTGTCCAAAATATTCTGAGAATCTTTCTATAGCATTTCAGCTCAAAAGCCTGTATTCGCTTTCTTAGGGACTGGGAGATAGTCCACGACTCACATCCGTGTGTTACTACAAGGAAGATGCATGCTCTCAAAATTCTAATTTTGATCTCCTTGTTGGTGCTTAACCATAGACTTTTAAGGCTGTTTAATCTTTGCATTGCTATAGCCATCCTCCTTTTAATTAATACGATAAAACTGGCAATTATCTACCGGTCACTTGCTAGTCCTGCGCGTGACGCCAGTTGAATAACCCTACTATACGGCATAAGTAGAACAACAACAAAAGAAGACGAAGGACAATAGCCCCGTGCCATGGCCTTTAAATTACAGTAACGACAAAATAAAAGAGTCATCAATTAGTCAGGTGCCGTCTTCACCATAAAGGTGTGCTGCTATGAATATCTTACTTTTTTTCTGTAAAAAAAAAAAAAAAAGCTAAATCCTAGACGGCTGTCATATACCAACCAAAAGACACTAATACTGTACACTAAGTCGCTCAGAAAAGCCACTGTCTACCTCTCCGCACTCGGAACACATTCACAGGGAGGCAACGGACACCCCTTCTACATTTAGTTCGATGTTAGTCATCCCAAACAAAATAGATCACATTCCATTGATAACTTTTTGGACTGGTCTACTTTCCGGGGAGGGGGGGGGGGGAGCGAACCGACGACTCTGAGATTAATCTCCCTGCTTTACCCACTGCTTGACACTATTCCCTTCTAGTATCTATAATTTGTTGTTTGTTTTAGTATCCAGAAGCCATGAGTTGTTAACCCTTAGGCTCGGTAATATGGATATCGCAACCTTTCGGCCTTGATTCCATTGTAAATACCGTAAATCTGGGAGAAATGTGGCTTTTCTGCCTACCCCCGGGAGTGAACCCGGACCACAAGGAGTTCGTCACCCGGTCACCGCACATTCCGGTTTAGCCAACTACGCTAGAGAGCCGGGCGTCTATAAATTAAAAGGGTGGACTAGTACCTATTTACCAACTAGGTACGTAAATGTTCGTTTACTTGTATAAACAGTAAAATAATAAGTAAAGGACCCTTTTCCACGCCTTTAGACGAATAGAGCATATATGGCTAGATATTATTTTTAGTAGACCAATCAGCATAAGATGGGTGATGTGGTCAGCATCACGCCGGCCGCTTTTACTTCCCGGGACTGCACCTGGTACCCACTCAAGGCTGGGTCGACCTGGGAGCCAGGGTCTTATAAACAGTACTTACAGATAAATATAACTAATGACCATATATAAAAACAACAACAAAATTGACCACTTAGCTTCAATGCTTTTAATTTGTTTTTCTTTGCGAAACGTCTTACAATGTAATGATAAAATCAATGTTTACAGCAAACAGTGAAACACTCAGCTTCAATAAATGCCTGTCAACACATAATAACGGCTGCTTTATGCGTAGGTCATTTATAGACATTATCTATCCATCAACATTTGAAGGGTTGAACAAGATTACTGACAAAGAGGCAGATGAGAACTACAAGGAAACGAAAGAGCACATAAGCATAATCAGAGGCGGAAGAGGAATTTGGTATTTTGATAACCAAGAAAAAACAAGCAAAGAAGAAATGTTTTCTTCTTCTTAGATTTCACCAGCTGTATACTCCGGCGAAGAGCTCTGGTTGTTCGACCACTTCTGTACTTTAATCTTGTTCCAGAACTTGAGTTTTGCGTGAACATTCATTTCCCAGATATGGGTTATTTGTATGCAGACTGTTGGTTTCTCGCATAGCAGAGGCACTTCTTCGAAGCAAACATCTCTAAATTAGTTAGTCGCTTTTACGGGCTGCTTATTAAAGGTACTGAGTGTTACCCCCCCCCCCCCCCCCCCCCCCCCGACCCACCCCTCCCAGAAAACAAGAAAAACACAGAAATAACAGAACAAAATGAGAAACAGAAGATTGATGCAACGTTTGAAAAATTAACGTCGTGAGTACCAAAGAAAAACGTGTATTGATAGAGCCCGAATAAAACTGGCGGTTTTAAGAACATCTTTAACCTCAAAAGATATGCCGAGACAACTATCACAGGATGTGGTGACTTTACCTTAGGATGTAATAACCGCAGCCTTCAGCAAATAACTCACAACTCGATGTGGATGCTAAGCCAATCTCATCAGTATCAAATTTTACCCATTTGTTTCTCCCTTTTTTTTTTTCACAATTACGGCTAGTTAGTTAGTTGGTTGGGTTATCATCGTTGCATTCCGGACATGCCCATAGGTGCTCAGATTCTCCCTTCAGTTTGAATCCCAACATCCTATGGCTAATAGTACCAGTTCTATGTTGATTAACAAGTCGTCTGGTGTGCATCTCGTTTTTTGCTATGCCGATCTTAATTCCCAAGTCTGCCATTCTGGCGAGCGATGTGGATTCACTGCCAACAGAGTCCTCTATCCTTTCCATTTTCACAATTACGGTTTTCTGCTTCGTTGATTTTTCATCAATATCCTGAGTGGTTTAATAGAAAGGAAATACTAATCTCTACTGGTTATATGTGAATGAAACATTACTGCCTACTACTTTATCGTTAGTTTAAATTACATATAAGTTCTAGTTTGGTTGAAATTTGAGGCAGACGCTGTTGATGCAGTAGCGGAGACCGGTTGGTTGTGGTCCATCGGTAAACACATGACCAAGATGAGCGTCGCACTGAAAGACAGTCAATAATATTCGTGAACATTTCTATTGTAGTCAGCTGTTACATTTATCTTTAGTCAAAGCAAAACACATAGATTATACAGCTTTTTTTTCAGTATGAAGTATTAACAATTTACGTTATGCTGATGACACAGTTTTGATAGCAACAAGTCAGAAAGAAAGAACTACAGGAAATGGTAGACATTGTAGTGTTAGAAAGTGGAAAAATGGGCCTCAGTTTGAATAACGGGAAGACAGAAGAAATGGTGGTATCACAGAAACGAATTATTCCTAAATGTGTAATAAAAGTCGATGGTGTTATTTTAGGACAAGTACAGAAATTTAAGTATCTGGGCACATGGATAACTTCAGATGGAAGATGCATAACTGAGATAAGTAACAGAATAGGACAGGCAAAAACTGCAAACTTATCACAGACATCAGAAGGAGACAGTCATTATTTTTCGGCCATGTTATGAGAAGAGGGAAAATAGAACATGTTGTGACCACTGGAAAGATCTGTGGAAAGAGGGATAGAGGAAGACAACGAGAGAAGATGCTTGACAGCCTTGTTGCATGGCATGGAGGTGTGTCGGCACACGAACTGATACATCCTGCAGGAGATCGCAGATTGTGGAGAGGCATGATGGCCCACGCCAGTCGGCAAGGCACCTGATAATGATGATGAAGTATTCTTCTTCTTCTGCCTTTTTATCCCCCAATGGAGCATAGGCCCTCAACCAACTCACGCCAAGTCGTTCTATCCTTCGCCATTGCATGGAGCTCTCCCCATGTCCTCACAATCTTTCTAACCTCGTTCTCCAGCTCTCTTCTCCATGTGTTTTTTGGCCTTCATTTATTCCTATGCCCCTGTGGGTTCCAATGCAAAGACATTCTAGTTATGCTGTTCTCCTGTTTTCTCAGTGTGTGCCCTATCCAACGCCAGCGTCTTTTCCTCACTTCCTGGTCCACTGGAGCCTGTTTAGTTCTCTCCCAAAGTTCTACATTAGTTATTCTATCATACCATTTTATTCCCTCTATTCTGCGCAGGCACCAGTTAATGAATGTCTGTAATTTATTAGTAATTGCCTTGGTTGTTCTCCATGTTTCCGCCCCATACAATAGTACTGATTTGACATTAGAATTAAAAATTTGTAGTTTAGTATTTCTTTTAATTTCTTTTGACCTCCACGAATTCCCTAGTGCTATGAAAGCCCCTCTTGCCTTTTGTATTCTTATTTTAATATCTCTATCAGTTCCTCCATCTTTATCTACATTACTGCCTAAATAGGTGTACGACTCCACGTCTTGGAGTGGGGTGTCATTAAGAGAAACCACACTACTATTTGCCTGATTTATTCTCATTATCTTTGTCTTTCCTTCATGGATTTTCAGACCAAGCTGCTGTGATCTCGCATTAAGTATATTTAATTTATCTTGCATCTGATTCCGTGAATGGGACAGAAGGGCAATATCATCAGCAAAGTCCAGATCATCAAGCTGTTTTGTAGGGGTCCACTGAATTCCATTCTCGGTGTTAGCAGTTACTGTTTTCATAGTCCAGTCTATAGCCAGTAAAAATAAGAGAGGCGACAAAAGACATCCCTGTCGCACACCTGTTTTTATTTCAAATGCATCTGTTAGCTTTCCCTCATGAAGAACTCGACATTTCATGTCTTTATATGTTGCCTTTACTAAGTTGATAATTTTCTGTGGGATTCCATAGTGCCCCCTCAATTTCCAGAGAGACTCCCTATCTATGCTGTCAAATGCTTTTTCATAGTCTATAAATCCAATGTAAAGTGGTGAGTTCAGTTCAATGCTTTGCTCTATTATAATACGTAATGTGGCTATCTGATCAGTACAGGATCTGTTTGACCGAAAACCTGCCTGCTCATCCCTTAGCATTTTATCAATAGCATCTTTTAATCTTTCCAAAATAATTCTACTTAATATTTTCCATGAACTGACAGCAACATAATTCCTCTATAGTTTTCACACTCCTGTAGATCACCTTTTTTGGGCAGTTTCACAAGATATCATTCTCTCCAGTCTGCTGGTATTTCTTCGGTCTCCCAGACTTTACTGAATAATCTATGTAGCAATTCTGTTGATGTGTTTATGTTGGTCTTGATGGCTTCAGCTGGGATACCATCTGGGCCTGTCGCCTTTCCTTCCTTGAGAAGATTTATAGCTTTTCTAATTTCCTCTTTGGATGGTATCTCGCAGTTGATGTCCAGTTCCATTTCTAAAGGCTGGATATCTGGGGGAACCTCTGGGCCTGGTCTATTTAGAAGCATTTCAAAATATTCAACCCATCTGTCCATTTGATCTTTAGTGTTAGTAAGTACCTTTCCTTGACTATTTTTGATTGATCCAGTTGGCTGACTATATTTACCTACAATTTTCTTGTGTTACTGTAAAGTTCTCTGAGGTTTCTTTTTGCTGCTGCTGTTTCTGCTTCTTGTGCTAGATCATTTAGATATTTCACTTTATCTGCCCTTATACGCCTCCTAACTTCCTTGTTGGCTTCTGTGTATTTCTCCTGAGCTCTAGCTTTAGCAGCTCTAGTTTTGCTATTGTTTAATTCTGCCTGTTTACTTTTCCTATCTTCAATCAGTTTAATGGTTTCTGGTGTTATCCATGCTTTATGTTTCCTTTCTTTCTTGCCAAGAACTTCTACGCAAGATTCATTCCAGATTCCTTTGATCTGATCCCAGCAGACTTCTGTGTTGACATCTTCAGCTAACTGCTGCAACGCCTGGTACTTATTAGAGACCGTAACTGAGAACTGTTCCTTAATTTCTTTTTCTCCATTTTCATTCATTAGATGAAGTATTAGGTTCTGTTATATCTTTTCTTCTTTTCTCTAGTTGTGTGTGTGTGTGTGTGTGTGTGTGTGTGTGTGTGTGTGTGTGTGTGTGTGTGTGTGTGTGTGTGTTCGCCGGCTGTAAGCCTGTATACTGCGATTAAAGTCTTTGTTGTTCGCTGACTTCTGGACTGGCCGTGTTCCACGACCTAAAGGATGCATGCACATTCGTTTCACAGATAGGGCTTATTTGTGTGCAGGTTATTGGTCCCTTGTCTCTCATGCAGATGTATTCTGACTTTGAATATTCGTTCATTTGCTTTGCTCAACAACAACAAATCATCACGTTCAACTTGCATCCGTGAAAGGTCAGCTTTAGGTTATAATTGTGACTATATTATGTGCGCCACATAAAATGTCTTAGCATTGCACACCACAAAGAGCCAGGAAAAGGATCCCTGCAGTGTTGCTGCAATCGAAGAAGATAATCCCAAACACAGTCCGGACTGGCGACTAAGTCGTCTACCGGCTAGCCAATGGTCGACCTGATCACTGGTGACTTGTAAGGAAACATCGTTTATATTTATGCTGTGCTGGGTCCCCAGCTGAGGAGCTGTTTCTGGGATGACCCCAGTAAAGTATATACACATACTTGGTGGGTGCACCACATGTGGGTCAGCGCCCCGATCCCGTTATATGAGATGGGATCGCTAGAGGCCTTCACGGTCGCCTTTCCACCTAGGACAATTCCACGAAACTGTGGATAATAGTTTTGAACTATTACTATTACTACCACCAGTAACACCGCCATTACTACTACCACCACCACTTCTACTACTTTTACCACCCTTTTTTTTCTCAGACTATTACTGCTACTATTGCTGCTGCGACGACAACTACTACTACTACTACTATTACTACTACTACTACTACTGCTGTTGCTACTGCTGCTACTCCAGCTGCTGTTGCTGCTACTACTACTATTCCGACTGCTACTGCTGCTGCTGCTGCTGCTGCTGCTACTACTACTACTACTACTACTACTACTACTACTACTACTCCAGCTGCTGTTGCTGCTACTACTACTATTCCGGCTGCTACTACCACCACGACAACTACTACTGTTACGATTAAGCTATTGCCCACATTCCACTTTCTTTTAAGTTGCAGACGCACTTAAAACATACATTTGTTCATATGAGGGTCTCAAACACACTTCCTTTGCCGTCAACATCGGTATTTCCCTTTTTTATGCTAATAAGACATTATGTTAATGTTGGGCTTAGCTTAACCGTCTTATATTTGTCTGCATACACCCGCATATGTATACTCAGTGATTCAATGAGTATGATCCGGAGGGTTCAGGCAGGTTCAGTGCGAAGACAATGGCTTGAATCATTACAGAAGTCCACTGTGCGTGGAGTCACCTTTATTTTTGTTCCGGGACACGCAGGCGTCGATGGAAATGAAAGAGCTGACAGGTTGGCTGGATCCGCTATCACTACCGACGGTCGGCCTATGGATCATGCTGATATTATCAATGCCCTCAGAGAAATGGGAAGGATAGAGGACTTTGGTGGCAGTGAATCCACATCACTCGCCAGAATGGCAGACTTGGGAATTAAGATCGGCATAGCCAAAAAAAAAAAAAAAACGAGACGCACACCGGACACGTCAGAAGACTTGTTAATCAACATAGAACTGGTACTATTAGCCATCGACGTTGGGGTTCATACTGAGGGGAGGATCTGAGCACCTATGGACATGTCCGGAGTGCAATGATGATAACCCAACTAACTAACTAACTAACTAACTAACAAATATTTGTCTGCGTGTCACAACTAGGCATCCTAAAGAATACACATCAGACTTACCTTGCCACAGAGCACCTCAGTTCGAATTTTGCCTCTGCTGGTGTCAGGTTTCGTTTCTATGGCCGCCAAGTCAGCAGCATCTTTGTCCTTTAGTACATCATAAAATGAAGGCCACCCCGTTCCGGAATCAAATTTGGTTGAGGAACTGGAAAAAACAAAAACAAATATATACATTCGAAAATTAGTGTGAGGTTATCATCAACATTATGTAGTTGTTATTATCACTATGTCTGAAAATGTGGAGTCAGCAATTAGGACTCGGCCTATAGCTCTGTCTGTAGCCAGATTATGCACACATCTCTCAGTGTCATTGACAAATACTTTCAAGATTTAAAAAAAAAAAAAAAATTGGGAGGCAGCTTTTCATTGTATCTTGTGCATTCATGCATAGTCCCTCGGCCAATTGTATTGCCCCACTGACTGCCTCCACCTCCATCCTCATGCTTGAAGCTATAGATCAGAAAGCTCCATTTTTATTTCCCACTGGCACTACGTTTTTTGCTTTACTAAAGCTGAGAATTCCTGGCAAGATTTTTCTTCAAAACAGAACTTCCCAGATAAAATCCTATAGCCTAATAATTAAAAATGTGACCGCGAGTGTTGAAATCTAGCATAGTTCGGTAAGTTGTCTCCCACCAGGAAGCGGTAAACATCCGGTGACACAAAGTGCCACAATGCAGAGAAGGATCGCCCGTGGAGAGGTCCCGGAAAGCCCGGTCAGCGGTTAGGCCATATTAATGGCCAGGCTATATTTAGAGCTTCCGGCACCAGCCGAGGTGGGGCTTCAAAATAACCAAAAAATTGCATCCCACATGGGGACGACTTCTTAGAAATCTAGCATGTAATTCTAAATGTAATAGTAGAGAACTTGCTTGCAATGATTTACGGTTTCTGTTTGTAGCCCACGAACAAACAACAACAAACAGGAGATAGCTTCTTACGATAGCCTTTTCATAGACACACACACAAAAAAGTAAAAGTAAAGCTCATTTTTTTTTCGCCTTAGGCATATGGGAAGAGCATGCCATATTTTTACAGACCAATCGGCCCTGGGTGGGTAATGTAGTCAGCATTACGCCAGCCGTCTTTACTTCCCCAGGACAGCCATTCTGGTACCCATTTTAGTCTGGGTCGATCTGCGACACCCCATACCATGATAAAAATCCACGAAGCCAGTAGTAAGTTTCGATCATGGTACGTTGGAAGTACGAGTCAGACTCGGACGTCGCTAGTTTGACACTAGCTCGGTGGAAATTAATTGCTGTGCCAGTTTGTTTAAAATAATTTCCACGTGTTTTGCAGGTAGTTCAGCTTGAGACGAGTCGTACGTAGACTGTTCACAGTGAGCAAGATAGTTTAGTGACAACATGTCATTGCTGGCCCACTGGGTACAGTGGCACCACGCTACAGTGTCTATCTATTAGGCTACAGTGTCTAGTTACTATGCTACAGTATCTAGCAGTGTGTAGCCAGTACGACGCTACAGCATCTCCTAAGTAAACTTATTTAATTAAAGCATGTATGTCAAAATATTTGATACATTATTATGTTACAATTTAATTCGAATGGGGAAAATACTTAGGAAAGTTTATCAACAGTGTTTGACCACACCTTGAACACGGGTCTACTGCATGGAGTTCAGCATCAAAAACCACACTACAACAGTTAGACAAAGTGCAAAATCAAGCACTCAGAGTCGTAACAAGCGGGATGACATCAACACCTATAGCAGTTGATGGAGAAGATAGCGATGACTCAAACACTGACAGAACAAAGAGACGATAAGATACTAATACAAGCAGAACAGTTTCTTAACATGCCTGAACACCATATGAAAGAAAGATTCCAAAATCTATAGGGTGACTAAAGAAAAGCAGTTTTATCCTCCAGGCCCAACGACTCTGTAGGCAAACCAGTAATCTGCCTGCTACTGATAGCCCCTTAAATGCTATTCCAGATCAGACCCCTTGGAAAGAGGATTTTAAGTTGCCAATACACATCCAGACAGAAGTGAAAGAAGTATTTGACAGAGAAGAACAAAACAGTGTGCAGCGTGAAACAGCCACCCTAGCTCTGCTTGATGACGAATACCCACATAATCTTTGGGTTCGTGTCTATACTGATGGGTCTGCACAAAACACAAGCAGAAATGGAGGAGCTGGAGAGTATATCGAGCATCCAAATAATACCAGATAAACAGCCAAAAAACCTACAGGAAAGGGAAAGCACTGTCACAGCTATGATGCAAAAGTTCAAGTCATCAATATAGCAGCTGAGAAACTGTTAAAAATTCGTCGTATTTCCCAACCCATGGTATTTCTGACAGTTGCAAGAGCGGTGCTTCAGGCACTCCAATCTGGAAAACTACTCGGTATACGAACACTACTCTCGTAACTAGGCAGCCGGTGTGAGTTTACTATGCAATGAATCCCATCCCACTGTGGAGTTCCTGGAAATGAAAGAGCTGATAAACTAGATAAGGAAGAGGCAAGTGAAAAACCATCTGACGTACCAGTCTCTTATCAACAAAAGAAGAGAATAATCAAATCAGTCAGAAATCCACCAAAACCAGTCCAAGGCGATTACCATTTTATAGACAGACCAGAGCAAGTTATTATTTTACGCTTTAGAACAGGACACAATCATTTTCGCAGCCACATGTACACACAATTTAAAATGGCGAATCAATCATGTGTACATGTGGACTGGCACCTGAGACAACAGATCAAGTCCTCCAAGACTGTCCCAAATACAACATATCAAGGCAAAACTTTTGGCCGAGAGAAACATCGGTGCAAGTCAAACTTTACGGGTCGCTGAGTGAATTACAAAAGACAGTGAAGTTCATACTGGGGACAACATTGCAGATATAGATAATCTATTTCAAGCGAACGAAAAAAGAAGAAGAAGAATTTAAAACGTGCATCGTTTGCTTCAACACACGAACGAATTCCGTCCGTCCGTATGATATTCTGATGAAGGACCTATATTTGGCGTAGGGCTCATAATACCAGCATCCTAGTATTCAGGTAATTTTTCGGGGAATCAGGAATATCCCACAAGGCTCGTGTTAATTACAAGGCCCTTTACAAACCAGTAGATAAAATTAGGTAATGAAACATACTCGAAGAGCTCTGCTCCACAACAGGTGCATGTATATGTCCCACTCTCTTTGTTCTCCAGCAAAGGTCCTGTCCATGGCTGTTAAAGAAAAGGACATATGTAAACAATTAATTTATACAGACATAAAATTATGAACGAAACTGTTTACTTGTAAATAATAAAAAGCGCCGCTATTAATTGCCACAAGAAGTAAACGTGGAAATTTTTTTTACTTTTGCCGGCCCACTATGGGACACCATTTTTCGTTTTATTTTTTATTTTTAAAGCCCCACCCTGTCTGTTGTCGGGGGCCCTTAAACAACCTGACAGTTGAATGGGGATTCTGGGACTTGCGCTTGAGTGATTCTCATCCGATATTTGGCACTTTGTGTCACATGGTGTTTTTGCTGTCCTGGTGGGGTTAAACTTTATTCATTCAAAAAAAATATTATACATGTTAAAAAAGTAATTAACCACAAATACCACAAAAAGGAGAGTTGGATGCGGGGAAAGGGGGGGGGGGGGTAGGGCACAAAGACAAATTCATTGACGTTAGAATCGAAATGTCACATATTTTGAAAAATCTAGACTCAATAGTGAACAATGGCGACTGCACAAAAGAAGTCAGAGGGGACTTGATCTAGCACTGCAGAAACTAAACATCACGAAGAATCTATGGCGTAGCATCTGCAAACGAGTTAAGGGGCAGATTTTGAAATCCTTTCCTGCATCAGCTTAAGGATGTGTGTTGTGAACTCTTGCTCAAAACTCCTAGAATACCAAGGACCAAGAAGACGAAATACATCGACATCCTGCATGATTTGAAGACTGAGGGTAATTGGCTCAAAAACAAGATTCTGTCATTAAAGCTGCGGTATATAGGCCATGTTAAACGTCATCTCCGTCCCCATGTTGGAAGCATTATTTCGTTATTTTAAAGCACTACCCCGGCTGCGGTCGAGGTCCCTAATTTAAAACATCTTTGAGTTGAACGGGGTTGCTGTGACCTTTCCCCGGGTGATCCTCATCCGAATTGTGGCACTTTGTGTCACCGGGTGTTTATGGCTTGGTGTCATGTCCTGATAGGGTTGAATGTCAGTCCGTCAATCAATCAATCATAGTGGCCTGTGGATGGGGGAAGGGGTGAACGGTGATGAAAAATAGTTTCAAGAGAACGATGCAGAGGCCGATATCCGCGAATGTGGACACAAGACATTGAATGTTCATTGGCTATGAAAGCACACAGGGTTGGGCAATTAGACTCTCAAGCGTGCCGTGAAGAGAGCCACGGCATGTAAAGAACCTTCTGCATAATGTATTGATTACCTTAATATTTTAATTACACATATTTGCGTATTGTCTTTTTTTTTTAACAGGACGTCGCAAATCAACCCCGGCATTTGTTGACTGTAACTGTTCTAGGTTGTTTTACGTTTGGTATTTTGCCATTGTTTTCCTTAACGTTCGGCTCTCCATTCCGTTGTCTAAATCCACACACATGAGGTCGATTCGAAATTACAAACCGGTTTGTAACTCTTGTGCAACAGATGCTGATGATTATTTTGCCAGAAATCAGGTAATCAGATAATCCAGCTTCAAAGAAAACGGTCACCCCCATATCGCTCCAATCCTGTGAACATGAAAACCACACACAATTTTCGTCACTGTGCCTATTAAAAAAAATGACATGGACTGTAGTTTTAGTAAATCCAAATGCATGCATACGCATTAAATGCACAAGGCAGCAGTCAGAAGTGCCAACACAAATAGTCGAACACTAGAAATGAAATTTCTCGTCGATGGATGCAGCAGTCACAAAAAGATCGGTAGCTGCACTGGCAGATAATCGCATAAGCCACTACCAGTTCTCTAGAAACAGTTAACTGGCCATTTTCTAATAATTCAATTCACTACACAAATGACGTTATTCACAGATAAAAATAATTCCGCAGCTCACAGTTCCGTACCATGCACCGAACTCAATAACTGGGCAGCGGAACTACATTATTTCAGTCCTCATTTAGAGGGAAATGCTGATTATTGACAGAAGGAAAAACTTGTCACGACTAAAAACAGTGAGCCTTCCCGTATGCCATATTGACCGGAAGTTCTTGTCAGTAATAACGATAATGATTAGTATGACATTGTTGATTATGATTCTAAGGATGAGGATGACAACGATGCATGCTGTCACACACCTGCTCTGTCCCATGTTCCCTTGTAACTTGAAACTCCTCAGGTGTTAACCTGTTCCTCAGGTCTGCTTCATCTAATTGAACTTTTCCTGGACGCTGTGTGCCTACAGGAAGAACACTTCATTTTGTTATTTTACAATATACAAGGGAAAATGTCTTTTTGGTAACAAGCACCGACGGCGAAATCATTAGAAAAATGTAACGAAATAGGAAAAAGGTAATCCCCGTGTGAGTTCCAGGGCCCCCGTGTAGGGAAAACAAGAATAGATTAACTGCCTCCCCAACAAGCATGTCGTAGGAACGACTAACTGGGCATTTCCTTCGAAATCGGAGTGCATCTGCCCGAGCGGCAAGAAATAACCAACTGCACACGAATAAATCAGTAAGACGGATGTACACGCAAAACTCAGGCCCTGGCACAAAGCCGAAGTCCAAATGGGCGAATAAGGACTTTCCACCAGAGCTTACATCAAGTGAGCAACAGGATAAAGAAGAAGAAACGGGTAAATAACTACGTAAAAATTTACCGTTTATACACGATTTGGGTACTATATAGCTTCCATGTACATTTTCTAAGGTGGGGGGGGGGGGGGGCCTCAGCCCCTAAAAATAATTGGAGGGGGGCTCAAGTAACCCCAGGTTCCATACTTCCCTGATAGCCAGTGTACCTCCTAGATTGGAAATTGGGGTTGTTGTTCTTTTCTAGTCTCTTCTAATTTGCCTAAGCATTGTTTAAGTTCACAATAATAACAATAAATGAAATGGTACAATCCTTATCCCAGGAAAAAAAAAGGCAACATAAAACGTAATGTTATGGCGGGCCCTTAGTCTAGGTTAATATCTAGTGGAACTTTTTGGAAGCAACCACGACACACTGAGAGAGAGAGAGAGAGAGAGAGAGAGAGAGAGAGAGAGAGAGAGAGAGAGAGAGAGAGAGAGAGAGACAGACAGACAGACAGACAGACAGACAGACAGACAGACAGACAGACAGACAGACAGACAGACAGAGACAGACAGAGACAGACAGAGAGAAGGGAGAGTGGGGATAAGGATGTGAAATCGATGAATGCTCCTGCAACAATCCCTTCACTCTTTGTTTCATCGAGAGTAAGCGATGTTGGTCCTGAAACTCGTGCTCCGATTGTGGAATGTTTTTCTGAAGGCGAACGGGTCTTGCAGGTCAAAGTTTCTGTCGAGATAGTTGTGATTCCCGTGCCTCTTTTTAGAACAATAAACACTAGTATCTGTACAGACAACCATGTCATCTGGGCGATTATTGTCATGAATCATTTGTTGAACTCCTGATTCTGCAGCACCAGCTGGCTAGTCCCTGCACTTACGCTCTAAAGTGATCAGAACTCTACACACACCTGATTCCTGCTTGGACACTTTGACCAGTTGCGCCCTACGCCTAAATTTATCAAGCCTGCACACATATCTAATTGTGTCTTCAGCTTGCACCCTTCAAGACCTTCCTCTTTTCAGTTTGTGACCCTTAGCTCTACCTAGGGCTTCTTGCAGGAGGTGCTTCTTGTCTGCAGCTACTCTGAGATATGACTTTGCTTGCTGCACTTTGAGCCTATCTGCCATAGTAGGCAGTGTCAGTATAGATCGCATACATATACCGAGGCCTCTCTTGTACATCTCAGAATTAGCCGCATGGCTTCATTCCGTATGAGACAAAAGATTGCATCTTAATTTATCATCATAAACCACTTCTGCGGTTAAGCGTCGTGGAGAGGAATAATTTGCGATCCAGTTCATGTTAGCTGCCACTAGCTATTGTCAAGCAGTGAAGGCGTAGAGTGTCTTTAATGTTGTCGATCCATTTTTCCGCGGCCGTCCTCTTCCTCTTGTAGCTGATCTTCTGAGATGTAGTGCTTGTGATGGTATTTAATTTATCTAAAGGATAAAAATGCTTACCGGCCTGAGAATCAGTCATGATTTTCTATAGGATACTAGCCGAAGTTTACTTTGAAGAGATACGAAGACCAGTAGCAAAATTACAGATATGACTCCAGTAGATATTATCTTGTCGATGTTTAATTAACAAAAAGTTCGTGTTCCAGGGTACGGACCGCATATTCGTTCCCCCTTAAATATATGACAGAGACAACTTGGCCTCATTAAAATTATTGCACTGTCATAATAGATTAGATATTTCGTGTATCACTTAATTGCATGCAGTTCTTAGTTCACTTTGTTGAAGTAGTGTGCTTGCCACTGGCTCTCAATATGGAACGTTGGACTATGGGAAGGGGGAAAGAGATTATTCAGCATTCCAATAGAAAAAACAGGTGACATCAAAAGGTCTCGTGCAAACTTTATTGGAATTTTTAAAAGGAAAGCATAAAAATGCCAAAGAGTCAGACAAGATTTCTGGAGAAATTCAAAGCAAAAAAAAAAAAAAATGTCGCTTAAAAGGAATCATATCGCATTTGTGGGTGAAATTCAAAGGAAAAGTCGTTTAACTGCGAAGGAATATTTACTAGGGTGATTATACCTTCCGTTGTCTGCAAGGTGAGACGCAATAGAAAGCAACTGTGCTCAAACGTCTATCGTGTCTAGAGGTGTTTTATGTGTACTGTACTGGCTCTGGGACCATTCTTAACTCTTTCTGGCTCGTTTAAATACTGCTTTAATGCCTTCTGCCCCAACGATACGAGCTTAAAATAAATAAATACTTAGGCCTGAAGGCGCCTGAAGACATGATGGGACAGGTGAGTTAAGCTGAGTTTTAAGAACCGACATCATAGCACTCGGAATATTCCCATAAACGCCCAGTCCTCATCTTTCGCAGCTGGCTCTGCACCACTTGATGGTTAATTAATAGATGACAAGTTAGATATTGTGAGGGTCTTTAGAAAGCGAGTGAACAGTGCGGAGGCGCAGATATATCATAAGGGTCTAAGGCTCTGCGAGGAGTTACCAGGGGATCTTGCCGACACTCGACACTCAGGGAAAGAATGAGGCAAATATACAATCAGACGGTTACTGGTACTATCGGAATTGGAACGCTTCGCTTGCTGCTGAAGATGGGGACTCAGCACTTATATAGCCTGACGGTTGAACGCGGGTAATCCTCATCCGCATGGTGGTACTTTGTGTCACCGGGTGTTAATCGCTTTGTGTGATTTTCTTACTTACTTAATATCCTTTGTACGTGTACATTTTCGTGTATGGAAATCCGTTTAAAACACAGCTTTTGTGCACGCAACAAATGCATTATTCCGCTTTGTCATAAAATGTAAGTGCCAGATACTAAATTCAAGAAGCGATGCAGACGCACGTATGAAAATTAACATACAAAATATATATGCAACATCTGACCTGCCGTAAAAGCATAGGAGACCCATGAATGGATACACATATATCCTTTGTCCCAGTGCTTTTTTTTTTTTTTTTTTTGGGGGGGGGGGGGGTATTTATCACGGTCAGTTTTTGTGTGTGATGAAAATGAAGATAGACAAGATAATCATCGGTGTTGGGGAAATAAAATAAACAGTTTACCTCATCGAGGTCAGGGAAGATGTAAGAATCGTTTGTGCGCTTCTTCCAATGCATTGTACAAGTTGGTGTTCATTTCTGTCAGGTTGCTCCTGATGATGCCGATCCATGTCCTGCGTGGTCTTCCCCTTGCTCTGTGTTCATTATATTTCTTCAGCGTGGCTCTCTGTGGCAATTGGTACCAGGGCATCCCATGTTGGTTCTAGCTTATTTTTGTGTGCAGACTGTTAGGTCCTTGCCTCGCAAGCAGATGCACAAGTAGTAGTAGTAGTAGTAGTAGTAGTAGTAGTAGTAGTAGTAGTAGTAGTAGTAGTAGTAGTAGTACTAGTAGTATTTGTATTTGTAGTAGTAGTAGTAGTAGTAGTAGTAGTAGTAGTAGTAGTAGTAGTAGTAGTAGTAGTAGTAGTAGTAGTAGTAGTAGTAGTAGTAGTAGTAGTAGTAGTAGTAGTAGTAGTAGTAGTAGAAATAGTAGTAATAGTAATAGGTTGACCATAAGTCCCGTTCAGTTGCTACAATTTATAATAATAATGATGATAATAATAAAAGTAATAATAAGTTACTACTTATACGAACATATGAAATTAAATATTTCAAAAATGGGGGAAAACAGTCTTTTTTTTTTAAATGTAAAATGTTGGGGTTTTCCGTCAATTTACTCAGAAGTTTTGAATTTAAAAACAAAAACACGAAAGTCTACGGTGAGTACATGTTTTAATAATCATGTGCTGTGCTGGATCTGAAAACTGATTTGCATGTTAAAGATTTAGAATCCTTGACCATAAAAACATGTTTCCAGAAATGGCAATACTGATATCATTATTAATTCAATAGTTATTCACAGCACTCATTTTACAGGGAAGGTCTTGGAGAAGATAGTTGCTGTAAAGCTGCAAGCATTTTTTTTAAGTGGGAAGCTTTTCCCAAGAGGTCTGGAAAGCTAAATGACACGTACGCAAATGCTGCCACTTTTGCTTTTGACGTCTATGAAGGGTTCCAGCACAGACAGGAAGCTATGGCGGTAGCACTGGATCTTGAGGATGATTATAACAGAGTGAGATACGACATCCTAATGACTGCACTGAGGGAGAAGGAGGTCAATCCATGGCTGGTGAATTGGGTTGCAGCTGTCCTGTATTCACGTTGGGTTGTTCTCCGACTGGGCTCTTGGACCTCAGAACCATGCAGTTTGGCCCCAGGACTGCCACAGGGTCCGCCATATCGCCTGTGCTCTTTAACGAGCTGTATACGAGCAAGACTGCAAGCCTAGAAGCACCAGGAGTTGGAAGGATGCTGACTTTTGCGGATGATATACTTGCATATAGGCAGGGGGAAGAGGGGGAACAAACAGCCCGGGAGCTACAAGCGACAGTAGACAAAGTGACTGAGTGGTGTACAGAAATGAGGGCTGTCGTCCACCCGGAAAAGGCGTTTGTTTTGTGATGTTCTCTAGACAACAGAATCGTTAAAGCTAATGTCCAAAATCTTACGAAAGATGGTAGAAACGTCAACAGAGAGAGCAAACTGAAGTATCTGGGAGATACATTTGACAGGAGCATGTCCTTTAAGGACCATGTGCAACGACAGTTGCAGGAAAAATGCCGCGAACAAAATCAACCACTGTATGTTGCTTTTATTGATCTTACCAAGGCATTTGATTTGGTTAGTCGAAAAGGTCTGTTCAACGCACTGAAGAAGATTGGGTGTCACCTACTCTACTGAGCATTATTGAGTAGTTCCACACAGGTATGAGGCGTTTTTAATTTTTTTTTAAAATGGAGTGAAGCAGAGGTGTGTACTTGCTCCTACCCTCTTTGGAATATACTTTCACTTCTTTTGACACATGCCTTTCGAGATCAAGAAGGTGGTATTTTCATTCATTCTCGATCTTAATCATCATGTTTTCTGAATCAGTTACAATCACGATGTGTGTATGTGTGTCGTGTTCTCTAGCCAGCGGAAAGCTGCAGTGACCGCCTCCACCTCCATTCTTAATCTGGATGTTGTGGTATCAAATGCTAGGCTCTCCTGCACCAAATGTCGTCGATTAACTTTTGCTAAGAAGCCCCAAGCACTTCATTTTCCTCTTGACACTGAACCGTCTATGTAAATGATCAAATCCTCTGAGCGAGCATAATCTTGAAATAACTGCTGAATTTTCACCTCTGGGGCACCTGCTGGCCAGTCTCTGCATTCTCGACTCAGTGTGATTATGACCCTACACAAGTCTGACTGTTCAGGTGGCACTTTGACCCTCTCCTCTCCTCGCCTAAGTGTCTCAAGGATGCAAATCTGTCTGATTGTGTCTTCTGCCTGAGCCATCCATGACCTCCCTCTTATCAACCGCTGACCCTTAACTGCACCCTGAGGGTGATCTGTGTCTGCAGCTACCTTGAGAAATGACTTCACCTGCATCACCTTGTGCCTACCTGCAACCGTCGGCAAACCAAGGATATATCGCATACACACCACTGGGGTGTCTCTGGTGCAACCTAGAATGACCCGGATAGATGCGTTCTGTATGCGCTTTAGTTTGTCCATCTGACTCTTTGTGACGGTAAGCAGTCCTAGGCTGTTAGATTACACACCTGTGTCTTTCATCTCTTGGGCTGAGACAGGTATTGAAATCCCGTAACCACCCCGTCCACATATTCAGCAACCAGCGAAGGTTTCCAATTAAGATGGTGTCAGTAGCAGTTTGACTTATGTGTCTTTTCTCTTTTCCCTGAATGTAGAGTGTCGGCCAGATCCCCTGGTCACTCCCAGCTGTACCATTCTCTCCTGTGAGTGTAGAGTGTCGACCAGATCCACTGGTCACTCCTAGCTGTACCATTCTCTCCTGTGAGTGTAGAGTGTCGACTAGATCCCCTGGTCACTCCTGGCTGTACCATTCTCTCCTGTGAGTGTAGAGTGTCGACCAAATCCCCTGGTCACTCCCAGCTGTACCATTCTCTCCTGTGAGTGTAGAGTGACGACCAGATCCACTGGTCACTCCTAGCTGTACCATTCTCTCCTGTGAGTGTAGAGTGACGACCAGATCCACTGGTCACTCCTAGCTGTACCATTCTCTCCTGTGAGTGTAGAGTGACGACCAGATCCACTGGTCACTCCTAGCTGTACCATTCTCTCCTGTGAGTGTAGAGTGTCGACCAGATCCACTGGTCACTCCTGGCTGTACCATTCTCTCCTGTGAGTGTAGAGTGTCGACCAGATCCACTGGTCACTCCTGGCTGTACCATTCTCTCCTGTGAGTGTAGAGTGTCGACCAGATCCCCTGGTCACTCCCAGCTGTACCATTCTCTCCTGTGAGTGTAGAGTGTCGACCAGATCCTCTGGTCACTCCCAGCTGTACCATTCTCTCCAGAACATAATGGTTTATCCCTGCCTCAGAATTGTTCACTTCTCCACATCTAGATTGTCATGCATACAATAATCCCC